TCCATGCAGTAACCGTAGCATCCTGTTACGCAAATGTATTAGCAAAAGCCGAGTGAGGCACATACGCATATTTTTTTACAGTTCTGGCAGTCAAGGATGATAATGGTTACAATGCATAAAACAGACAAGAAAAACAACAGCATGCAAAATCTTAAAAACGTACAGCATCGGCAGAGGTAAGGTATTTTAAATAAATAAATAAATAAATAAAAAATAAATGTTCTCAATCAGTTGACAATGACACTATCTTTAGTGCTTAGCAAGCACTTACATTTCTCAAGAGTTGATAGCAAAAGTTGTCATCATAAATTGCTAAATTCAGTTTTTTATTTAGTATGAGCTTGTACAATCTGACTATTTTTACATGTGGTAATTTGAATTCCATAGAGTTAGATTTATCACTAATTTTAATTAATGTGATGCTGCATTGAAAAAAATGACAAGTCAATTGACAAACCCAGCCCATCAGAGGTGCGTATCGAATATCTTGATCCGCCACAGTGGAATGAATGCATAAAACGCTTTGCTTTACCCGAAATGTAAATTATGTGACCAACCTCACCCAAATCATGTGACCATGAGTTCACGTGACATCCTTTATTTTTGAGGCGCACTCGCAGTTGACACAGAATGGGTAGCGAATCGACAATATTTATAATGATTTCAGCCGTGTTATGTCAGGCAAGTGCAGTGCTGAGCCCAGTCGTCATTGAAGAACAGTATTTATTTCAACCGGGCAATCCTGGAGAGGTTGACGCCTACCGAATTCCAATTTCAATTATGTGTCCCGACCGATCAATTTTAGCATTTGCAGAGGGGCGGAAATACGGGAGGGGAGATTATGGTTCAAAATTTTTGGCCATGCGACGATCGAAAGACAGTGGCGACACTTGGACGACAACAGAATTCGTCCTGGATGATAACCCCTCTGTGGACGGATTGAACCTTGGAAACGTTATTATCGATTATTATAACAACAGTGTTATAATAGTATATGTACATGCGCACACGCATTCAGAGTTATACATGGTGAAGAGCCTAGACTGGGGTGTATCGTGGGGCAAAGCCATAGCACTGTCTGATCGTAATCCAAAGCTGAAGGGATATGAATGGACTGCTGGTCCTGGGTACGGTATACAATTAAAATATGGTCCACACAAAGGTAGACTTTTATCTTGTGGTCATGGCATGTCACTGGAATTGAGAGAAGCTAGCTGTCTGTACTCTGACGGTAAGCTACTGTTTTACATTATGAACTTGCGAAAGAATTATTTTTATTAATCATCATGTTTCAGATTTATTTATTTAGGATACATGTCCATGATGATTTATTTCACAATTGAATCAAAGATGGCCGACTGGCAGCCATCTTGTTTTTTGAAAATATCGTATTTTGGACATGCTTTGTCAGTTTTCATTCAAACTTGGTACATAGATCATACATGTTAGAATACATGTCCCCGACCGTCCGTGAGTTCCTGAGTCTGTCAGTCCGACCGTCCGTGTGTCAGTCTGTCCGTGCGTCAGTCTATCCAATGTCATATTTCAGAATCCTGTGGACCGATTCCGTTCATTCTTTGCATGTGCCTAGTACCTTATGTGGGACATATGCACATGCAGTGGTTTAGTGATTTGATTCAAAATGGCCGACTCGCAGCCATCTTGTTTTTTGAAAATGTTGTATTTTGGACATGCTTTGTCAGTTGTCATTCAAACTTGGTAAATAGATCATACATGTTAGGATACATGTCCATGACGATTTATTTCACAATTGGATCAAAGATGGTCGACTGGCAGGCATCTTGTTTTTGTTTTTTTTATGCGGTATCTTGGACGTGCTCTGTCAGTTTCCATTCAAATTTGGCACATACATGTACTTTATACATGTTAGGATGCATGTCCATGACAATTTGTTTCAAAATCTGGTCAAGGATGGCCGATTGACAGCCATCTGACTTTTTGGCCTTACTACTATATTTCCACAATTTATGTACCATTTTCATTCGTATTTGGCACATACATCATACATATCAGTGTGTTTCATAATCAGATCAGAGATGGACGAATAACGTTTATTTTATTTTTGGCCATATTACTACTACACGGAACACGTGTTTTGATGTAAATAAACAATCTGTTGTATACGCCACTTGGAACTCAAGTTTCAAGGACACGCTCGCGACAACCCCTTCGCTTTAATATGACGAGCACAAAGAGAACTTAACGGGGACTGTTTCATTTTCAATGACTTGTTATTATTATAAGTTTTGACCTCACCTGACCTTGCATAGATCTGATAATTATGAGGTTGTGTGTTCAAGCACACATTTCATGAGATCAGCTCTATTTATTTGGCAGGTGTAGTGCAAAATAACTGGGAATCTTTTTTATTTTTATTTTACCATTTTTGACTCCTGTGTGCGAAGCACAAAAAAGGAGTCTTTGCATTTAGTGTGTCTGTCTGTGTGTGTGTGTGTGTCTGTTCCACTGCTATATCAAGAACCATACATTGGTTTTTGATGAAACTTGGTGCATAGATGCTCTGGGCCAATGCGCAGATTTGATTAGATTTTGGTAAAAATCCATGCATATTAATTACCTAATTTGCATGATAATTAGCTGATTTTTAGCTGTTCCATGACTTCCATTGATATCTAAAGAACCACTCATTGGATTTTGATGAAACTTGGCACATATATGCTCTGAACTAATGTACAGATTTGATTATTTTTGGGTAAAAATCTGTGCAATATTAATTACCTAATTTGCATAATGATTAATAAATTTTTGGCTTTTCCACTAATATCTCAAGTACAAATCATCACATTTCAATAAAACTTGGTACTAAGATATCATAGAGCACTGCACAAACCTGATAGTTTTTAGGGTAATATCAGTACATATTAATTACCTAATTTGCATAATTATTTAATTTTCAGCTTTTGATATTTCAAGTAGTAATCATCACATTTCAATGAAACTTGGTACATAGATGTCATAGGACACTGCACAGACCTGATAGTTTTTAGGGTAATATCAGTACATATTAATTACCTAATTTGCATAATTAATAATTAATTTTCAGCTTTTGATATTTCAAGTAGTAATCATCACATTTCAATGAAACTTGGTACATACATGTAGTTACTTAAGGACTGTGCAACGACCTGATTAGTTTTGGGGTAAATATTTGTGCATATTAATTGTATAATTAGTTATTTTTTTCCATGAATGTTCCACTGATATATAAAGAACCACTAATTGCATTTTAATGAAACTTTTAAAGAGTATTCATCATCACATTTCAATGAACCTAGGACTATGCAGAGAGCCAATTAGTTTTTAGTAAATATTTATGCTTATTAATCACCTAATTAAAATAATTAATTAACACTGATATCTCAATTACTGATCATCACATTTGAATAAAATTGGGTACATAAATGCTTTAGGCCCGATCAATTTTGGGTTGAAATTTGTTCATATTAATTCTCTAATAATAATTCATAGTTTTTTGTTCTAATCACATTTCAATGAAACTTGGTACATAGATATTACATTACGCAGGCCTTATTAGTTTTACACTCAAATCTGTTCATATCAGTTACCTGATTTACATAATTAGTTTTCAGCTATTCCATCAATATCTCCAGTACAAGTAATTTTGGATCTAATTTTTAATGTGTCTTCAATACTCTCAGCACACAGGAGTTCTTTCTAAGCTTTCTTTGATTCTTTCTTTGTATTCAACTATTTAGACACAGCAGAGTATTTTTTTTATCCAGAAATATCATATTTTGCTATGTTTCTCCCATTGCTGTCATTCTCTTATATCTTGGTTGGAGAATTTGAAAATTTGTAATTCCGTATATTTTTGGCCCCAATCTTATTAATTTGAATTAGATTGGGCTGTGGTCTGGAAATATAAATGTTTTTATAAAACTTGTCCAAAAATTGTATTCATTCATCAATGAATTATTCATGTCACCACAAATTTCAATGGCTCTAGGAATTCTGAGGAAAATGCTTAACCCCATTTTATGGGTTTTTTTGTCTTATTTTCACATTATGGCTGACAATCTTAACAATATGTAGTGCAGTCATTACTAATTTACCCTATTCAAAGTTTAATGAGGTCAAACTCTCAAATATTCAAATAAATTCTCAAAATTGTGTTGTGTATCTTGTCACTGACAAGAGATTTACATACTGTCAGTATGTTAGCCAAGTAATACAACTCTTTCAATTTCACATTGTTTGCCCTTTTCTCAGAATTTTTGTGAATTGTTTGCTAATTAATCCCATCTTGAGTTTACTATTGAACAGTGCTTGTAAACCCCCCCCCCCCCAAATTAATCAGAAAAGCTGTTGATTTGAATTTAATTTGATCATGGATGTGTAATATGAGTACTAGTATTTTATATCTAGACCCTTTTCTGGTTTGTATATTTTTATTTTTATCTCTTTCTAAATCATAAAATTGTTTCTTCAAACTACTTTTTTCGCATAAGATTTGATTAAGCTTTTTATGTAGAGCAAATTCCATGTGTGGCCATGGTAAATCAAACCACTGTTGTGTTTTGGTATATCCAAAGTAGGTCATCACAGGTCTCTGGCCTAAATGCAGATACTGCAGATTATTTTTTGTTTTGAATTAATTGGTGAAATAATGAGCTGATGAATTGAGACTTTTGATTCAGTAGAATTTTTTTTTTATAATTATAGTGATAAACTACCTATAATAGTCATAATTCTATGTATTATTTTTAGAAATTAATTAAAATTACTAATCATGTCAAATGTTGGTCTGTACTTGTATGTTGTGAATGACGACATTATAGTTTACAGTACTGCATCCAAGAATCAGGCTTATATTCATTGCCTACCATCTAATTTGGTGTTATGCTGAGTGTGTATGTTGCCAATTTCTACAACTAATTGTCTGGGTATAGGGCACCACCAAATGGTAGATTTTGATAAATAACTCCCAGGGTTTAAATTTTGGGGATTTTTTTCCATGGGAAATTACTCGTCTAATGATATTCCATCATATACAAGATCAACAAAAACTTTATTAAACCTTAATTATTCTCCTAAGGTCTCATGCCACTAATCAACCAATGGCTGCTCATAGCCAATTTAAATGCCTTGCAAGAACCAATGAAATTTTTTCAATATTTTTTTGTCAGGTGCTCCCTGTTTGAAGGGGTGATCACCTGGGTCAAAGAGACTAACATGTGGTCTTTTTACCTTGCCCGTACCATCAAAGATGGAAGGAAAAGGTATATTAAGGGAACAAATTTTGTCCATCGTCGTCGTCGTTTTCATTGTTAATAATTGTTATTGTGTGCACAATAACTTTACTAATTCTATTCCAAACTTCATCAAACTTGGTCATCTTATTCATCAGTATAAAGTCTTCCCTGAGTTTGAACAACAGATGTTCTGTATGAAAATATCTTGCAAAAATTGAGAAAATCTGATAAAATATTTTGACTGTTTCTACTTGACTGATCACTGGTGATACACATCAAAGGTCACTGATCTCAGTGGAAATATGCATTGTTGTATGTGTTCAATGAAGCAAATCATTTATCTTGTAATAATATCCTTGGTAATGTATCTCCCAAATCACATGGGAATACTATACTGGGTTTCAAAACCATCTCATGGAGAGATTTTTTGCACAGTCTGATACACATTTGCAAACCTACCAATAACATTTTTACAGTAAACAAGATGTCAGAAACTATAATTAGTATTACTAATTTAGAAACGCATTTCAAAAACAAAGATTACAGGTTTTGAAGATGTAGATTCTCAGGAGGCAACAGTACTGTTGACTTCTCTCTCCACTGGACACTAACTAACTATTTAAGTTGATTTGCATACAAAGCAGAGCTTGCAACATGATAGCTATGCATAGAGGGTGTTTTTTTTTATTTTTCATATAATACAGTTGGCACACAATGAATATAAAGAGGCAGTCTCAGTGAATCATTAATTTTTTTTTTTATTGATATGCTTAACAAAACAAAGATACAATACACAAATACAATACAGGTTACTACACAAATACAAACTTATAATTCAAAATAATCAATGAATTCTCCCCATTTTTTATTGTGACTTTTTCTATTTTTTTTTTTTTTTTCTTTTTTCTATTTTCTTTTTTATTGTGTCTGTTTTCTATAATTGTGACTTTCTTCTCTGTATGGTAAATTAATTTGA